AATAATAATAATAATAATAATAATAATAAATTGCCCTCACTGGTGTGGCTCAGTTGGTTGGGCGTCATCCTGTGCACCAAAAGGTTGCTAGTTCCATTCCCCATCAGGACACATGCCCAGGTTGCGGGCTCCACCTCCATTAGGGGGCGTGCAAGAGGCAGCTGATCTATACTTCGCTCTCCCATGGATGTTTCTCTCTCTCCTCTCCCTTCCTCTTTCTACAAAGCCTTAAAAGATCAAATAGAAGAACGGCAACTCCAAACATCGTGCTTTGCTTTTTATTATCCCGAATCCTTGTGAAAAAAAAAACAGACATTTGACATAAAGTGGGCAGGTGGCTCGTACAGAACATACTATACACCAGAGAGCGGAGCGCGTCAGCTCCCTTCTCCACTTTGACCCAGTAATTACCATTCGGCCGTCAGGTCTCCGCCAGAGAGACTAGTAAATAACGGGAGTGTTATCTTGGGGCGTAAAGAAAGGGAATTCGCAGAAGGAGCTGGCCGCTCTGGCAGCCTTGCAGTCAATGTTCAGCTTGGGGTTGCTGTCCCTCACTTCCTTCAGCAGCTTCTGGGTCTGGGCGCTGGACTCGTCGGTCCTCAGCCGGAGCCTCTTCAAAGGGCTGGATCTCTGCTTCAGGGCCTCGAAGAGCACGGTGACCCCGTTCTGCCCCAAGGAGTTCTGGCCCAGGTCCAGGACCTCCAGCCTCTGGTTGCTGGCCAGGGCAGAGGCCAGGTCCTGCCAGCAGAAAGACGGGAGGGAGCAGCCACAGAGCCTGTTGAGGAAGGAAACCGGGGCCAATCACTCTCAGAACAAGTCCTCATTGGGACCCTACCGGGAGCCAGCCACACTCTGGCCTGCAGGGGACCTGGTAGTGAAGAAATTGGGGGAATTGTTTTCTTCATGGAGTTTATTTTAGGGACATCGGCCATCAAGACATGCTGGTTTTTATCTTTATTGTTGAGATTATTACAGAGGTCCCCTTCCCTGCCCCTCCTTACTCCTCTCCACCCTGTTCCTACCTTGAAGACCATATGAACAAGTTGTTGGGATAAGTCAGCCAGAGAGAAGGATTAGGTAGGTTGATGGTGGTCAGTGAATTTTGTTGTTAATACTCCCCCGGGGATATTCCATCCGTTTATTTTTAGAGAGTGGAAGGAAGGGAGAAAGGGGAAGAGAGAGAGAGGGGTGTGTGAGAGTGACATTGATTGATTACCTCCCACACACACCTGACCGTGGCCAGGGTTGAACCTGCAGCCCAAGTACATGGCCTTGACCAGGAATCAAACCCACAACCCTTTGGTCCATAGGCCAACATTCTAACCACTGACCACACCAACCAGGGCAGTCAGTGACTTCTTCCTTGGGAAGATGATACAAGAAAGAAAAACTAAAGGACAATGAAGCTGCACATCATAACTAACAAGAAGCAGTATAGGTATCCTTGAAACCCATCTGCACCAACTACATCCACTCCTCCAGCTTCCTGAGTGCCTTCGTAACCATCCACTGACCTGCACTCACTTTCTGTTGGCATTTGCGCCCAACAGTGGGCCAGGAGTGGTTCTATCACTCTCCCCCCCACACACACCCCATCCCCTGTCCAAACTATCTCAGAGGTTAACTAGTTCCAAAACACCTGGAACAGGCACAGAAAGACCTACCCCAGGCATTTGAGGTTGCAACTCGGTTTCTTCAACGCCTCACAGAGAAACCACAACCCAGTCGCTATGGGGTTGAGACTCAGGTCCAAGAAGGTCAGGCTGGAGTCTCCTTGGAGAAAGTCGGAGATGGGCTTGCAGCCGCGTCTGGTTATGCTGCACTGGCACAACCTATGGAAAAGACAGTCAGAAGAGGGGTCTTCTGCCTGGAGCCATATACTTCCGGTTAGGTTTGTGCATAACAGACAAATGGAATGATGGTTATGTTATTGCTACCTGCCTGGGGGGTAGAGGGTGAAACTGACCTTTGCCTGCTTCCTTTTATTTATTTTTTAATTACATTTT